ATATTTATTTATATTTATATTTATTATTTATATTTATTTTTAGGGATTAGGGATTTGGAGATTTAGGGATTCAGGAGGGATTGGGGGAAGGGAAGGATTGGGCCTCTGTTATTTATGTTATAAAAAGAAAAAAACCTCGGTAACAATATTCAAACAAAAGCATACTTATCTATAGTAAGGTTTGAATCGTTTCCAAACATAAACTAATAAAATAAAAATAACAAACATTTCCGTCTTTCATTTTGACTTTTATTGAAACATTTTCGACTGCACTGTTAGCGTGGTGGCTGGGCAACTGGCTGCTGCGCAACGTGTCGCGGGTTCGATTCCCGCACGGAACAACTCTTTGTGTGATCCACAGATTGTTGTTCGATGGGTCTGGGTGTGATGTGTATGTGCAATTGTATGTTCGTAAACGCAAAAAAAAAAATCACAGAGCTCAAGCAAATATGATATCAGCGCAAGGTGTCGCAGGCTCGATTCCCGCATTCGGGTCTGGGCGTCATGTGTTCTTTTTTTAACGCACTCAAAACAGTAGGGCAAAGTTTTTTAATTCATTAAACCCCAAGCGAACGCCAGCTATTGTATTACTATTGTGTCTCGAGTAACCACAATTTAAAAGTGAAATAAAGAAACCTCTATTTAACATCAACGATTTCGTTAAACGAAAAAAAAAATTACTAAAAAAAATAAATCACATCCAGTATTAAAACCTCATTGCTCATTCGAAATAACTGTAATCGTCATAATTTGCGTCGCGAATCGGAATTTCGGGTAAATAGGGTGAGAGCGCTACATTCAGTAATTCGATGGTAAATCGTGACAATTTATACCGATTCACATTAGCCCGGCATTGAAATTTGCGATTTATTCTGTCACTGTGGTGTGGTTGCACTCTAATTTTGCGGCTTCTGTATCATTGCTGGTCAATTGTGGCTACAGATTCCATACAGGTTTAGCTAAAATGCTAAGTCTTATTATCATTATTAGTGCCCTCTGCTGAGCAAATGCTTCTTCTCACACAGAGAAGATTTGAGCGTTATTCATCAGGCTTGTTCAATGTGGATTGGCGATTTCAAACTTCTAATTAGTAATTATAAGTCCAGGTTTCCTCATGATGTTTTCCTTCACTCAATGACAGTAAACAGTAACTTGGAAAAAGTCAGATTAGTGTTTGCCAGGTTTCGAACCGAAACCCTCGTGTATGAGAAGCGAGCGTATTAACTTCGGGTCACCCCTCTACCGCTATCCCCGAATTCCTAACAATCCAAAAAAGAATGACAACGCTTTTGAAAGTACAGTGTTACATGTATCCTCAGCTGGCGCTGATCGCTTATCATCAAATAAACAGTCTGCTAGTTTGGCGATAAAAAAAATCTAATGTAAAAAATATACACACAATTAACAAGTTTTCACAGAATATTATGTGTGTTTAAATTAATATATATATTTTCACATGTGAAATATAATTATTTAAGGCTCATTTTTCAACGGTTGGATAAAAGTTATCTGGGGAATAATTATAATGCTGTCGCGTCAGAATGTTTGTATAAGACAGAGACAGCAACAATTTTATTCCTCAGATAACATTTATCTAACTATTGAAAAATCAGCCCTAAAATAATTATACTCATTTTAAGTATGTTTTAAATATTTTATGATCAACCAACTTATACTATATCAACTAAATATGGTTTTGTATTTTCTTAGTGTTTGACAGTGATAAATTATCGAATACTTACTTCCGCCCCGAATGTGGCGAGAACTCCTTCTAGCCACATTCGGGGCGTCAGATGTCAGATTCTTACAGGCCAAAATAGACCCTGTTCTTTCTCCTGTTTTATGCCGAAGCCGCGGCACATTTTTGCGTTTCGAACCCAAAACCCCGATATAAACCTATATGTATAAATTATAGCGGTGGTTATGCAACCAGTTGCATCTCAACGTGTCGCGGGTCCGATTCCCACACGAAACAACTACATCATATTTGTCTGATTCACAATTTTTTTTTTCAGGTCCGTGTGTGATGTTTATGTGAAATTGTAATGTGATATTGTTTGTAAATGCACCCACGACACATGAGATAATTGAAGGACGAGGCATATTTTTTAAGAAAATATTACAAAAAAGATTAAAGAGAGTGGAAACGAATATCGGTTGCGTTGTTTTAAAAGTTTAAGCATACATAGGGACATAGAAAGCGGCTTTATTTTAAATCAATACTATGTACTGATGACCCATGATAATCTACTCTTAGACAGTGGGCTTCCCCTTCATCTATACTAATATTATAAAGAGGTAAAATTTGTAAGTTTGTGTGTAGGGGTAATCTTTGGAACAGCTAGTCGGATTGACAACATTCTTTCACTGCTAGATAGTTACAATGTTTCTGGGTGCTATAGGCTATATAAACGCTCACGCTCACGCTACGATGAAATGGAGCTGGGCAGCGGGTGAAACCGCGCCAGAGTAGCTAGTAATATGATATTTTCTCTCTGAGCTCTGTGTGTGGTTAAAAAAAACAGTTTAAAACATTAAGGTTCATCATAGAGGCTTGCTGCTTCTATGCTATGAATGGAGCTGTTTACTTCATAAAAAATATCAGTACGTCGCCCCATTTTATAAATTAATGATGTATCATCTGCAAATTGTATAGGTCATTGACCGTCGTTTATGATACACGTGGGAAAATTGGTCTTAGTATTGTCACAATTATTATTCTAATTAGCCATTTTCGCACGGAATGTTCAGTAATATTGATAAATATTAATTGAAGTAAGGGATTTAAGTGTGGGAGAGCCATGCTTCGGCATGAAGGTCGGCTCGACCGGAGTGATACCGGCTTCACAGAAAACCAGCTTGAAATAACCACGCGTTGTATTTCACCGTGTGAGTGAGGTTATCAGAGGCCCAGTCCTTCCCCTCCCCCAATCCCAAAATCTCCAAATCCCTATTCCCAAAAAGGTCTGCTAAGCATTCGTAACTGGTGTGACTGCATCAACACCCTCATAGGGGGCAGCGATTCCAAGTAATCTGTTCAGCACGTATCGTCGCCGTCCTGTCGCATAAAAAAACTAAATAATTAACTAAAATAGACCATTTGTCTTCTTCGTGTTTTATGAAGGCAATAAAATATTTTTTTTTAATTATTTTATAAACTTTTTATGCATTCACTTATAAAATTAAATAAAAAACAAAACATTAGTCAAAAAATGTTTTTAATCTTTTTTTTTATTACTTTTTTTTAAAAACGTAGTCTAGGTTTTTCTCCTGTATCTTGGGTGTGTTTAAAATTAAAAACATACAATTTCACAAACACATCACGCCCCGACCCAAAACAACAATTTCGTGATCACACAAAGAGTTGTTCCGCACAGGAATTGCAACTGTGACACGTTACACGACAGCCAGTTGCCCAACCACCAAACGTGTTCCAAAAAACAGGATACAAACCCAAAAACAAAAATCGAAAGGCCCTCAAAATTTCTAAGAACTTCATCATCATCAAAACATTCTTTTCTTTTAGTGGACATGACCTTTCCATTATCTCATCTTTATCCACGACCTTTAGCACTTCACATCCGGGTAGTCGTAAATCGGAGGGGGTGACCTCGCGTCCGGCCATAGTCGAGGCCACGGTTCGGAGCAAGAAGAGCTGGGAAGCCGTCTCCTCTTTCTGCGAAGCTGTTATGCTCGCAAAGAAGGAGGTGGACTTCGTGAGGAAGCTATCCTCTTCCACCCAGCCGGCACAGTAGGTAACACTCCTGGCGTCGGGAATCGAGAGACGATCTTTGGCCATCGTAAGCGTGGGTTTGCGAATAGCGAGTAAGGGTTGCTCGTCACCCAACCAGAACGAGACCCGGCCCGTACGGCGCGTTGCGTTTCGCAGAGCCGCGCTTACGATGTCCGGAGATCGTCTCTGCACTAGCACTAGCCCTTGACTTAGTTTGACTCAGTATTTTCCCTAAAGAAAAAAATATTACAGTAACACCCAACTGTGTCGGAAGCCATAATCAAATAAATCACAGATAATAATCTATAATGATTTATCTAATTAAATATTATTTTATTCAAATATTAACCTTGTAAATCTTTCTGTATACACAATTAACAATTATGTACAGTCGGCAGAATTATTTGGTATCCAAGTAAAAGAATGAAGATTGGCTGATAACAGAGACAGTAGGTGTTGTTTTTTTTTGTGGTAAGACGGCAAACGTGCAGTGGGATTACGTGATGGTAAGCAATCGGCGCCGCCCATGGATACACATCAGAGGAGTCACGAGTGCGTTAACGGCCTTTTTGGGATTAAGGTTTCAGAGATTTAGGAATTGGAGGATAGGGCCTTCTTACAGAGTGAAACACAACGCTGTGGTTGCTTTCGTACCGATGCTTGGCTCTCCCACGCTTGCACTAAATAATACTGCTTTTGATGAAGCAATGTTTTTTATAACCAATCGTCACCTAATAGCCAAATAATGGTCCTCGTCTCTGGCCTGAATCAAACATAATTGAACATAACTGCACAGAAAATAATTGCGTAGACCGTACATTTCAATAACCATAAAAAACAAGACTGTATTAAAATTAATATATTGCACCTTTTATTTAAACAATAGGCCCTATCTGCAGCCGTCATTGAATACACGCTATTTATAGAATAATATTTAAATAGAATAACGCAATTATAAATGGAGAATACCCTAGTAAAATTTATATTTGGCCATATAGGCAGGTGATATTGGTTTGAACGAAAAATTATTATAAAGATAAATAAAATGTGTGGAAAAGGTTCCTCAATATGTTAATGAAATAGGAGTACTCAAAAGTGAGTTAATATACAATTGTTAGTTGTTAGATGTTAAGGCTAAAAATTTTGTTGGGAAACACAGGTCAAGAAAAATAGAAGACGTATCGAAAATCAGTGAAAATTATCAAGTAAAAAGAAAGTTAGGATTTTAGTAATCGTGTTTCTTAGAAAGAAAAAAGTATTGAACAAGATGAACGTCTCACCTTTTGTCAAACAGGTAAGTGGATTATTTGTATTATTTTTGTTACTAAATAGCAGACTGGTTCTTTGACTGAGCTTGTGACTCTTCCAATGCAAAAAAAAATTAAGCAAAGACTTTGAACTGACTTTGCTCAGAGAAAAATTGAGTCACTCTATGCCATAATCTAAATATATTCAAGACTGGTGGTAAGCAAACATTGCTGTCCAAGAATATAAATCAGTAAGAGTATTTTTTTTGTCAGGAGAAAATCATCAAATCACTTCTCCAGCCCAGAGTAAGGCGAGAGAAAGTGTCAGATTCTTACAGATTAAAAAACCGCCCCAGTCCTTCGCCTGCTTGAGACCGTAGCGGTGCCACATTGCGCATACCCCGCTGAACATCAGCCCTGTAGCGCTCCGTCTGTGTAGGTCTATTGGCTCTCAGAGGCGCGTGCGGAATGCTCCGCGCAGTACGCTCGGGTCTGGTTCTGATCGGGCGGCGAGCATCAGTAAGAGTCTGCCGTTCGCTCTTGCTCCATCTATGGCGGAAGAAGACATTACATGATTTATTATTTATTATATACATTATGGTCTTATTATGGGGATGGTATTGTTCGACAAATATTAGATTTGGAGGAAAACTCAATTAATTACAGCAACAATACGACTTCATTGCCAGATAATTGCTGTGTACCTACATTTGTATGTTGACTGGAAATGTTTGCCGTAAACAAATGTTATTGTCGCTTACAAGCTGATAAGTCTACCGTTTATTATGTTTGCTGATGTCTGAGCTTAATGAGGAAATGCGAAGATATACTCGTATACATATGTATGTATGTAAAGAGACGCCTTCGGATTCTGAAAGGTTTAGACAGAGATATGTCTCAATACTCAATATATTTATTGCATTCCACAATGTGACCTTAGGTGGTAGGGAACATAAGGATTTACATATATTAGTTTAAGAGCATTGTGGGCCCTGTCGGGCATATCAGTATTTAATTTTTTATGAGGAGGGCTAGTATTAATTCATATATGTTTACAATTTGAGGTAGGTAGGTCTGTTGATTATGATTTTTTTCCCCAGTTATGACTTAAGTAACCTTTAAGAATATCATGAATAGAATATTTATTAAAAAATTATGTTGTCTCATAAATTTTTTGTGCCCTCAGTTTCATTGCAAAACTGATGATTTGCAACAATTTGACCCATAAGGCAATTCTTTGATCACACAAAAAATCGACCACATCAGTTAACTTATCTTACAGTGACTTAAGTCCATAACACCAAAATCTTATCAATCAATATATGTTTTCTTTTCAAACACTGAGCCCCAATTTTCCCACCTGTACCTATCCACAATTCCTTGATCTTGGAAAAGCCATTTGTCCTTTGGATTAGCCAGTGCTCAACACTGGCGGCTTGCTTACCAACAAGCCGTTCATCCATTGGCTCGTTTTCCACTCCAACTTTAAAGAAAAAAGAAAAAAAAACAACATCTTTTTTACAGATGTTCGTGGCAGCAGCACCACAACTAGCTGCAGTGTCCATGGGTGGGTCACTAGGCTACCCTTGCGTGTTGATACAGCAATTCCAATCTAATGAGACCAGCATAAAGACTGATTTGAGTACTCTTACGTGGATTGGTAAGTTTTAGAATAACTTGAAAACCGTTGGAATAAATTGGAATGTCAATGTGAATTCTGTGTGTGATGTGGTGGTGTGATGGCTTTTAAGTCGCGACACATAGTTATAGATGGCGCTACTGTAGATTGCTATTTTTTAATTAACATAATTTATGATTGTATGTATACAATTTATATGTCATACGTCATCACATTATAGTGTTATTGTATCCGAAATTTAATATCCTAAATCACTATTATAATCCGACTGACCTTCTGACCTTGAAAATTGTAGAGTAGAAATTCATATCTCTGATCATTTATATTTCCAGCATCAATGCATGGAGTAGCCGGGATCGGAGCCACGCTAATGCCAACCTTAATGCAATGGAAAGGAAGAAAATATACATTCATTGGAAGCACTTTACTTCTTCTAATCGGCTGGCTACTAGCATTTGTAGCGCAAAGTACATTGACGGTCCTTTTATCAGCAATATTACATGGTTTGTCAAGCAATTGTATTACGATTGTGAACCTTATGGCTGTTAGTGAAATGCTGGCTCCTCGATATAGGTCAGCTTCAATGGTTCTACTAAACATCAATCAAACTATCGGCCAGTTCATGGTTGCTGCATTAGGTTCCATTTTCAATTGGCAGATTGTGGCTTTGATCATGTGTGGGCCTGCTACAGTTGCGTTATTAATAGCCTTTCTATGGCCCGAGTCGCCTTCTTGGTTGGCATGTAAAGGAAAATTTGAAGACAGTGAGAAAGCCTTTGTTTGGCTTAGAGGGAACGATATTGATGCAAATAGAGAATTGAAAGCAATGTTAGCAGCCAAGAAAGGACCAAGAATAAAAGTTTCCAAAAAGACAAAGTTACAAGAAATGTGGTCAAAAATGAAGAGAAGAGATTTTTATCTACCAAGTATTTTTATGTTTTTGTTATTACTGAATTTTTATATAAGCGGCGCTCTACCCCTGTTTATTTATAGCAAAGATATCTTACAGATGGCGACTAGAACTTCAGAAATAGCTGTTTTCGGTTACTTAGCAACTGTGTCAACATTATTCACTGGATCATTGATTTCTTTAATACTGATAAGATATTTTAAGACCAAAACTGTATTATCTAGTTGCGTAGGATCTATTTTGAGCTTATTCTCCTGTTCATTAGTGTCATATTTGCAAAGCATTGGGGTGGTTAGACCAGATTCGTATTTGTTTCTTTATGCATATTTGGCTTATATGGTGTTTTGTAATTCTGGTTTTAATCCCATTACTTTTGCTTTGCCTATTGATTTGATGCCTGTCAAGCACAGGGGCATGGGTGGAGCATTATTCAATATATTAACCTGTTTATTATACGTAGTTACAGTAAAGCCTTTTCTATACATTGTCGAAAGTATAAGTTTAGCAGGGACTTTATTGTTTTTCGGTGTCTCTTGTTTGTTTTGCACTATACTTATTTGGATTTACGTGCCAGAAACTAAGAATAGGACTTTGCAAGAAATTGAAGATTATTATAATTATGGATCGTTTGATAGATTTAGACATTCTGACGATGTTGAAGTTAAGACGCCTATTGTTAAGAATGGGGTGGTGGATTAGATGAATGACTATAAAACGAATATTTTAGGTACTTTTTAAATTTATTGCGTCTACACCCAATATTTGGCAAACAAATCGGAGTTCAATAGGCGTGACAGTATTTTTCTTGTAGATAAATGATTTAATTAATTGTGTGACGTCACTTCTAAATGAATAAAGTGTACTTATGCATTACGTAGCTATGTCCCACTTCTTAGTTTAAATTAGTTCTATTTAAGTACTGTATAATTGTTACGATAAAATAAAAAATACGTCCCCGATAATAATTACTATCTAACTATAGGACGAAATATCTTTAAAATTTTTAATTTTTGCATACTCTCCTGTTAGTCCTTATTTAAAAACAAAGCGCATATAATATACATTTCATCTCTAATCAAATCATTTCAAACATTTCGAATTGTCCCAACAGTTGGCCTTGTTTAGTTGTACTATGTGTGTGTTCACAAGGCTATATTGTTCAATGTGTGTTAGGTAGTAGTGTATTTCTTGTGTTTCGATATATTTTTATATACATTAAGTTGAACAGTTTTGTGATTTTTAAGTTATAAGTTCACTAAACTACCGCATTGGAAAACTGTAATGGTAGTTTTTTCTTTCTAAATAAATAAGTAAATAAATTTCCATCTGTAATATGAATAAAAGACTTGGATCCTGGTTACTTGACTTTAATATCACAGTACACAGTCGAGCAGCACTGCACCAGAGTTACATTGTCAATGGTCGGCAATATGTCGACCATGATATATAAAGTTGACAATGACAGTTTAACTATTTAATTATCCCGAGCGTACGGCGCGTAGCGTTCCGCGCGCGCCTCAAACAGCCATTAGACCACCACAGACGGGGCCCTAAAGGGCTGATGTTTAGCCGGGGTTGCGGGGTAAGCGCAATGAGGCACCGCGACCTCGGCATAGAGCAGGAGAAGGAACAGGGGGGTTTTTAGTCAGTAAGAGTCTGACACTCCCTCCTGCCCGGCCCTGGGCGGGAGAAGTCATTTGATGATTTTCCCCTCACAAAAAAAAAAACTATTAATTATAAGATGGGTGTGTGTTCTTTCGTCATTACTTAAAAAGTACAAAGACACTGTAAAGTACAATATTTACGTGTATAAACATAAAGACGAAACAAAACAACAAAACTGTTTCAGACAAACAGGGCGCCACGAAAAGAAAAAAAAATCGCTTCAACATTTTAAGCGGTATATGAAAGGATCCCAACTGTCGATTGGCAAGATCATCTAAAGCATTGCCTCAAATACCTCTTAATAACGTTTGGATTCTGATTTCGGAGTCGATGTAAGATTCGCTTCGAAATCCCGCTTACTGAGAATTATTCATAACATTCTCTAAGATTTTGGTTAGAATTAAATTTTGTATTAAAATATACATCTACCAGCTTTTGCCCGCGACTTTATTCGCGTGGAATAGTGACTTCCTGCAGATTTTTTTAAAACTATCCTATGTCGCATTCCAAGTAGTTTAGGCGTGAAGAAAAGACAGACAGGCAAACAGAGTTACTTTCGTATTTATAATATTATTGTTTGAATAGTTTTAATGAAACTGAGGTCAAAACGAGCATACGGATCACCTGATGGTCAGAGTAGTTTTACTTTAAGTGTGGGAAAGCCAAGCTTCCGCACGAATGGGTCGGCTCGACCAGAATGATTGATACCACGGCCTCTCAGAAAACCGACGTGAAACAACCACAAGCGTTGTCTTTTGCCGAGTAAGTGAAGTTTACAGGGGCCCAATCCCTCCCCCTCCCCCTTCCTATTCTTTAATATCCGAAAACCAATTGTCACTCCCTTGGTATTGACGATTGCTTATAATCAGGTAAGTGATCTGATCGTCGCCAATACCGAGCTATACCACAAAATAATTAATTTACTAGTTTCCGCCCGCATGACATATTGATAACAAGCAGCCTTTGTGTTAATTCAGGGTATCACATATCTATATATCTATATATCAAATTTCAACCTAATCACTCCAGCTAGTTTTTGAGTGAAACGATAACAAACATATGTAGGTACATCCATACTTTCAAATTTATAATATTAGCAGGATGACCTTCAAACCGTCAAGAAACGAGCGTGCTTGGCACACAGGCCGGCAACGCACTTGTGACTCCTCTGGTATTGCAGGTGTCCATGGGCGGCGCTAATCACTTACCATCAGGTGATCCGTCTGCTCGTTTGCCTCCTATTCCAAAAAAAAAACAATGTAGGGTATCAAACAAGTCAACACTCTATGCAGTATCTTGCTCGTTCTTGTCCTTTCGATTCTAAACTCATTCCAATATGAGTATTTAGTTTCACAGGCAAACAGACTAACAATTCTATTTTGACGTTTTAAAAGAACTTATTAACTTAGGGTTTAGTTGAAAAACATGATTTTGATTTTGACTCCAGTAAACCAAAAGATATAACTAACAATATATAAAGCACAACACCTTTTAAATATGTTAGCCACAAAATAATACCTATATACTGCTGAAAATTACCTCACAAAAATACCTCATAAAGAAGTATAATTATGGCTGAAATTCTGCGTCATTGGGCAGCTGATTGTAAATGCGGTCACCAATATTCAATAAGATTAATTTTCAATTTAAAACTGAAAGTAGGTCATATGTAATATCTTTTCAGTACAGGAAATATCGAAAATATATTTATGTACATAGATACCTGCTTATTTTTGTATGAAAATCAGTGGCGCGAAAATGTCAGACTCTTACTGACTCAAAAGTTCTTTTCTTCTTTTGCTCCGGACTGGGGCCGCAGTGCAACATTGCTCTTGCATCTGAAACCGCAGCTGGTCATCTGCTGTCGTAGGCCCCATCAGTAGTGATCTGCTCACGTAAAACATTTTCGACTTGTTTCAAATCACGACTGGGACTTATACCTACATTGAAACTAGACGAGCGACTGCGAATTAGTTTTTTTTATTAATTTAGTAGGAAATTTCACGTTTTCATATATAAAATATTAAAGGACCCACAATATTTTACGCTTAATCAAAATGGTAATAAAATAGAAAAATGTATGAAGTAACCATATCAAGTATGATTCTCAAACTGAACAGTGAATATATTTAATTAAGAATAGCCAAGCAAAGTAAAATTCTTAATTAGTTTACAGTTGAAATTTTTCCGCACATATTTTTTGCTTCAGTATGAATGCTGTTGAAAAAGTAAGTTATGTGTGAGGAGGTTCTTTCTTTGAAGGGTTTCGTATTATGAACATGGTGCCATATTGGCGCGGACTTGGGACATGGACTGAAACCATTAAGAATTTGAAATCGCCAATCCGCCTTGAGCAAGCGTGGTGATTAATGCTCAAAAGATGGATTGAGCATTAATCACCACGCTTGCTCAAGGCGGATAGTGTGAGAAAAGTCTTTTGATTAGCATTAGGCACTAATAAGCTGATGATGTGATGTGATCTGAACTTACTCGTTCGACGGAATGCATTACTTGTTTGTATCCACAAAAAAGTTTAACACCATTCTCAGAGTTGTTTAACACATTTTTATTGCAGTACCCTAAAACCAGCAGCCAGACTCAAGCAAGCGTCACAAATGCAAAAGATCCCGTACCGGACATCTAGTAATAAGTTATAAGGGAACTCAATTTAACTTCGCCAAGATCTTGTTAATAAAATTCATGAATTACAAATCAAAGTTTGTTTGCTTTGAGCCAGTAAAAATGTAAAAGCAAATGACTTCTTACTCTTAGTATTGAAGAACAAATAAAATGTTATACAGTTGGCGTTGATACTGAGACTTAAGTTATCATCTGCAGTATGTATATACATATATTATGTTTATAAAGTTGGTTTACGGACCGTAGTTTGACGAGACAATGTCAAACAGTATACTATAGTAACACGAACCGAACTGAGCCAATCGTTTGAGCTGATCATATTTTTCTCTCGTTCTTGCCACGCTCTCGCTTGCGAAACGCAACAATGAGCATAACGGGACAATGACGTCATCCTTTTCGTGCATGCAGGCCGTAGTAGAGTTATTAGAAGTTGTCACGTCAATTTTTTTTAGTTCAATATCATTTCGATACATTGTGATTGGGAGTTTTTCTTCTACTACCATCTTCATCATCATCATCATCATTATATCAGCCACAATACATCTACTGATGAACAGGCCTCTGTTCATCAGTGGATATATACCCTAATGATATCCAAATAGGCCGGTTGGAAGCTACCTGCATACAACGATTCCCTGCAACCATAATTAGGTCATTCATCGACCTTGTGACACAGTGCTTTATTGGTCCTCATTCGAAAACCTTCCTATCCCGGCAACCATTGGTTCTTCGAGCTATGTGCCCTACGTGTCAGCGATTTTTATGTTTGCGGATCTCCTCCTTTTTTAATCGAATCCAAAAAAAAAACCAAGCACGGCTATTTTGAATATCGAATATTAAAATAGTTAAAATTCTTTCACACACGTTCCATACTAAATTTAACAAATTCTATGTGTAGTGAGCAAATTTACATAGATATATCATTGAGAATTGTCGTTAGACCATCACCAACATTGCAATAAGGCATCAATATAAATTATGGATATATATAATATTTAATAACGTATCGTACAAATTAAGCGTTCGTAAGCAAATCAAAGTAAAATCTCTCGTCTCTCGATCTGTTAAAATTGGAAATGTAATATCGTTAAGTCTACACCCTGGTGTAAGGGAACTTGCAGAATGCATACCAGAAATTTTGGGAAATATATTAATAAAAATGAAATCAAAAAAATTCTTAAATTATTTTTTTTTTTAAATACCGAAACCCTGAAGTGGATTTATTGATCAAAGCTTTGTTAGTTTCAAGTTTAGTCAACGGGACTCTTATTCATTAGCAAAGTCACGACGGCTGCGGTCAATTTTTTAACTAGATAAGTTTTTCTCAGTTGTCTCAGTCACATAGACATGACATTGCCATGTTAAGAATGAATCGTACAAAAAAAAATATTAAG